GATAGAACATAATTCAGCATTAAGTGGTGTAGTTCAGGTTCAGAGAGGATTGAGGCTAAGAGAAATTGGGAAAGACTTCTTAGAGGAGTTTTGAGCTCCATTTGGAAGGATCTGGAAGGTTGAAGAAAAGTAAGGCAGTCCAGAGAGGGGAAATATTCAGAAAGTCTCAGAGGCATGAAGGAACCTGGACCAATTGTCCTAATTGGAGTTTAGGAAGGGAAAGAGAGGAGGTTGTAGAACTGGGATACCTGGGTGTGAGTCTTAAATTGACCACTGAGTGAATGTGAGTACAAAAATCACTTAATCTTTTTCAGCTCTTTCCCTCATCTGTCAAATAAAACATATGATCTGCAACACCTCCCTTTGCTCCTTCCAGAGCCCTGTGGGAGTCAGAGGAAAAGGTGGTGTGCAGGGGCCTGACACACAGGATACTGGTACCCTCCACGCACCCAGGAGGCACGAAGGCAGCTGGTGGGATGCAGCCAGCCTGAGATTGGAAGCACTTGCCTTGGAAGACCAGCGAAGGCTTCTCAGCTTGGATGTGGCGGGTGTGTGCTTTGTGGAAACACATTTCCTTTCTCACATTGAATACAGGATGTGGCTGGTAAGCCAAGGCCACATGCCTGCAAGCAACATTGGCTCTTTCTTGACAAGGAAAAGATTTTATAAAGGGTATCACCCCAGGACTGAAAGGGCATCGGGTGCTGTTTCAGGAAAGCCATTGTGCCCCAGAGTCGCACTCCCTCAGCTCCACAGATATCGTGCAGCATTGTCTCCAGAAACAAGACTTTGGCAACTTTCTGTGCTAAGACTTTGCGCCCTCGTAAATGCTGCCATCTCTATTTAGAGTCTGAGAAACCCATCAGTCCGTTTGGCATTTTGCTAGCTGCCAGTAAGAAAACGTGACCTTCTGGGCATAAGGTGAGCTGCCGTCTGGAGCAGGTGGGGTTAGCAAGAACATAGGTAGACAGAGCAAGCAGGAAGCAACGGAAACTTGCAATTCTCCCCTTTCTGTATATGCTTCCTGAGCCCCACAATACCTTGCCCTAATATGGAATGCTATGTGCTGTGTGGCCCCACAGCTTGTTTCTTAGTGCCTTTCCTGCTGCATGAGACAGACCGTGTGACCTCCGTAGTGGAGACAGCACTGAATTTGGCAATGAGCAACGCTGACCCCAGGTCCCAGCACCGCACTTTCCAGCCACTTGTCTTGACTCAGCCACTGCATGCCCCATCTTTCAGCCTAACTTCCCTCCTCTATGAAAAGAGAGATTGGTTTCCTTCTGTCTGCCTTGAGTTTTGCTGATTGCCGTAATCCCCTGGGATGCTTGTCCGAACACAGATTCTCAGGCCCCCAAACATTTTCCCTCATTCGGTCTCAGGGCCAGGCAGGTCATGCATATTTTAACACACACCTGAAGGAGTCCCAAAGCTAGAGAACCACCAGGTCTGAGACCCCCGATGGTTTGGTAAAGAGGCCTATGCTGGATAAAGAAAGTAAAAAGGCTGCTTCTGTTGCAAAGACCCCCCAAGCCCTTTCCTACCCCTTAGCCAGGCAGAAGTCGCTGATTCCTCCTGCACAGGTGTCCATCGTTGGCCACCTGACTAGCGCTGCCATTGGTTGCACACTCATCTCTCCTGCAGCATGGGAGCCTCTCAAGGCAGCGGACTTGCCATATTCATGGCTCCACCACAGCACCCAGCACAGGCCTAGCCAGGAGTAGGCTCGCAGCTGAATCTTGAATGCCGATGCCTTTTGTTTTGTGGCTTTGTGTTCTTTCTATTCTTTCCATCTCTTCCTGTGACCTGAATTGGCAAGCCCAAAGTCTGCAATTTCAAACATGGGCATCTGTCCCAGACCCATGCCACCTTTGTACCACCAAGTAGAGCATGGCCATGAAAGGGTTCGCTGCCTTCTCCCCTCCCCATCAACCCTGGCGCAGCCTGGACCATCCATGTGGGTTGAACAGACAGATCTGTGGAGTTACGGTGCAGCCCAGCACGCTCAGCCACGGCCTGGGAAGAAAACTGGCCACTCCCTGGCAGAGAGCTCAGCCCCTGCCTGCAGCCCTGCCTGTCTTGTCTAGCTCAGCCCAGTGCCCTCCTCCCCAGCCAGTGCCCCTTCTGAGAAAGGAGTGTGTTTAAGATTCTCGGCACGGGGTCTAAGAGGCGATTCCAAGCATCTTGCTGCAGAGTGAACTAATCCTACCAGGTTAATTCTCCCCCTCAGTTCATTCCGTCTTATTAGAGCCGGCAGGCACCCCGCAATGCTTCATTACCTGTGCCACTTGAAGGCAAAGCTTTCTTTTAATAAGCTGAGCAATGTGGGGAGCCCCCTGCTAAGCACCCCAGATGATGCATTTGCCCTGAAAAGGGGAAGCCATGAAGTCCCCAGCCTGTGCATGGAGCAGAGCTGTTAAGAAGGGGCATGAAGGGGCTGGACAGCTGAGGGTGCTTCTGTGCCCAGTGAGGTCAGAGGGGACACCAGAGGAGGCTGAGTGAGAGGAGCCACCCTTCCCCGCCCCCAGCCTGATCTCTCGCCCTTCTCACACTTGACAGCTTACAAGAAATACTTGTCAAAGGCCCCAGGGCAGAAAGATCCCACCCTCTGCCCACTTAATCCGACCTCAATCATCACACCCTGTTTTCCAACAAATACAGCGCCATTTCATCCAAAAAGTCTCATTTCCAGGGCTTATACAATTGCCCCAGGAAAGAAAGAAATGGAGTTTTGCACCAGGACTGGGGAAAAGAAGCTGCATGAATGACCGCATTTGTAGGCACCTGAGCATGAGGTCTGTGGGTAGGGGATAGGGGAAGGCGGGGAGGGCGGGGAAGGCGGGGAGGGCAGGGAGGGCGGGGAGGCAGGGCCAGCCCTGGACACCGGGCGTCCTCACCCTTAAAGAGCTTGGCCCTCATCAGCAGCTGGCTGTCTGTGTGAAAGAGATCTCCCCTAATTAATCAAATCCTCTCCACCTCCGTGAGTGAGGGCTCCGGCGGAAGAGAAAGCGCTGCGGCAGCCCTCGGAGAATGGCCAGCTTGGTACAGAGGACCCGTCAGGAGGGCAAAGTGACTTCCCCAGCACACTCAGCCTTTATCCCCAGAAGCCTGGCTGCAGGCTCACTCTCTCCCACCCCTTGCTCTAGTGCTCTGCTTTGTTTAATCTGCATTTTACTCCCTGCATCTCTCCACACTCAGGCTCCCTATCCTTGCTGGGTGGCATTTAATTTATTACCTTCCATGGGCTCCTTTTCATGAGCTTGTATCTCTGCATGTTTCCACCCTTTGCTACATTTCTTACTGTCTGTTGTCCAGAGGGAGGAGGAAAGAAAGGGACTGAGGGAGAGGGAATGCATGCTGGGGGGCTGTTGCAGGTGGGGGCTGGTCCAGATGAAAGGGCCTTTGCATGCATTGCAAGAAGAAAAAACTCAGAGTGGAAAGAGGAAAGAAAATTGCTCACTGAACGCACTATGGTTTCCAGCATGAACGGGTTGCAGACAGAACTGCCCTGTGAGGTTTTACTCATGGGGGAACCACAAATAACTTTCTAGAAGGAAACTAAGTAAAAATATTCCTGGAAAACAAAAGCAAATGGGCTCTAAGCACTGAGCAGGAAATCAAAAAAATGGTGAGACTCTAAGACTCTTTTACCAACTCTAGTTCCCCATTCTGTCCCCATCTCCAACTGCACGTCCAACATCAGCACAGGTTCTTAAGCTTTCTCTCTTCACCCTTTGACTTATCAGAACAGAGCCAGTCACGGGCAAGCCATATAACTGCCCAGTGCCTCAGTGTCTCGTCTTGTAAAGGGGGTACTCTGATAGCTTCCCTCACCCGCATCAAGAGAACGGCGAAGGTAGGGTTTAGGTGCAGAAGCACTCTGAACTCTGGATGTAGAGCACTACTCCAGCAAAGAGAGCTGAGTGGGGTTTTACTGCCTTTGAGAGGAGCGAGGTAGGGAGTATGGAAGGTGGTGGTAAAGTAGTTGAAATCGTAGGTTTTGAACCTGCACTGCTTTCCACAAAAATATCCCTCCACCACCATGCGTGCATGACTGTGTCATTCCCGGTGTCCACCCAAGCCCCAGCTGGTCTGCGCTGCTCGCTGCTCTTACCGCTTCTGACTCTGACATGCTGCTTAAGACATCAGACTCTCCGTCCTCTTCTCTGTTGCTCCCCCAGCCTCCCTCTCCAAGCGGCTGTGGTGAAAGGAGTGATTAATGAAAAGGACACACTGGCAGTGCATTACTAGATTAAAAGCTATAAAGAGCAGCACCTGTGAGATTGAAGAATCCTGCATCAGCATCTGGGTCACACCTGGGCCACGGCAGCGTTTCGGCCGGCGTGAGGAACAGCCCAGGCGGAGGGCAAGGGATAGTTCTCGGAGTCATCAAATCAAAGGTTTGAGCCAGACGGGGTTCCAAAGGCCGCCAGGTCCATTTCTCTAACTCACTCCAGTCTTCCCCAAGCATATTGGACTGAGTGGCCACCCGAATTCCTCCTGTGACTCCTGTAACACAGGAGCCCTTGCTTCTCCGCAGCAGTCTGCTCTAAGGTTGTGGGATGTGCTAGAAAGGTGAGCTCAAGCTTCGGCTGCTATCTCCACTATTCACCACTCATTCATTCATTCACTTATTCAGCAAGGAGGTGCAGATGGCCTGCTATGTGCCAGGCATTGGTCTGCAATGGCAGAGATGCTGTGGTGAGCAAGACAGAGTGGTCCCTGTCCTTGCAGATGGTAGAGTTACTCAGGCCCACAGACACAGACAGCCCAGGGCTACAATAAGAGAAGTTCAGGGACCTAAGGGAACACTCAGAAGAGATACTCATCAAGATTTGAGGGAAGGGTTATTGGGGTGTTAGGTATGAGTTCTAAATTTCTTTTCAAAGAATCGGTATGGCAGTATGTTCAATTCTTTGCCTTCTACTTTTAAACAACTTCCTCATAAAGCAACCTTGTTCGATTACCTGCTCCACCTGATTCATTCCAATTACCTGCTCCATCCTGACTCATTCCGATTACCTGCTCCATCCTGACTCATTCTGATTAGCTGCTCCACCCAGATTCATCCAATTACCTGCTCCACCCAGATTCATTCTGATTACCTGCTCCACCCTAGCTCATTCCAATTACCTGCTCCACCCAGATTTATTCCAATTACCTGCTCCACTGTGACTCATTCCGATTACCTGCTCCATCCTGACTCATTTCGATTACCTGCTCCACCCAGATTCATCCAATTACCTGCTCCACCCAGATTCATTCTGATTACCTGCTCCACCAAGATTCATTCAATTACCTGCTCCACCCAGATTCATTCCGATTACCTGCTCCATCATAGCTCATTCCGGTTACCTGCTCCACCCAGATTCATTCCGATTACCTGCTCCATCCTGACTCATTCCAATTACCTGCTCCACCCAGATTCATTCCGATTACCTGCTCCACCCAGATTCATTCCGATTACCTGCTCCATCCTGACTCATTCCGATTACCTGCTCCACCCAGATTCATTCTGATTACCTGCTCCATCCTGACTCATTCCAATTACCTGCTCCACCCTGACTCATTCCAATTACCTGCTCCACCCAGATTCATTCCGATTACCTGCTCCACCCTGGCTCATTCCGATTACCTGCTCCATCCTGACTCATTCCGATTACCTGCTCCACCCAGATTCATTCTGATTACCTGCTCCATCCTGACTCATTCCAATTACCTGCTCCACCCTGACTCATTCCAATTACCTGCTCCACCCAGATTCATTCCGATTACCTGCTCCACCCTGGCTCATTCCGATTACCTGCTCCACCCAGATTCATTCCAATTACCTGCTCCACCCAGATTCATTCCGACTACCTGCTCCACCCAGATTCATTCCAATTACCTGCTCCATCCTGACTCATTCCAATTACCTGCTCCATCCTGACTCATTCCGATTACCTGCTCCATCCTGACTCATTCTGATTAGGTACAGATTTACCACAATATGCTCCACGCAGATTCATGTCTGCATTACCTGCTCACCCTATAGCTCATTCCAATTATGCTACACCAAGATGCGAGTTCAATTACCGCCTACTGTACTCATTTTCCGATTACCTGCTCCTTCCTGATCATTTCATCATTGTCGCGATTCATCAAGTACTTGGCTGCACAGCGATCATCGATTCCGTGCTCCACCAGCATTCATTCTGATTAGACTGGCTCTCACCAGTTTCAACTTATGCTAAGACATTCTCATAGTACCGATTACCTGCCCATCAATAGCTTCATTCGCGATACCTGCTCCACCCAGATTTCATTCCGTCATTACCTTGTCCATCATCAGCTCAATTCCGACATTACCTGCTCCACCCAGATTCATCGATTACCTGGTATTTTTAGCCTGCTCCACGCGCCAGATTCATTCTGATTACCTGCTCCACCTCAGGT